TGTAATGGCATGTTGTTTAAGGTCTGTTCCAAAAGTTCTGGTAGGTTATTGGCTAGAAATCTAAAGTATCCTTCTCCTGACAACTTTGGGGGTTTACTTGAAAGGGCCAATTACCTGATCGTCAAGAATACCCGCTCAAATATTTATTTTAAAACGATGTTGGAAATCACCTTCACGAATGGTATGAGGATTTTCTGGGGCCCACGTGTGAGTGTTATGGAAATTTAATATCCCGTCTCGCGTAAACGTACATTCGTCCGTCGCTAAAATGTTTTTGAAAAAATCCGGATTTTCAATGATTTTGTGCAAAAACCACTGACAAAATGTTAGTCTGCGAGTGATAGTCTTCTGGTGACAAGGCCTGCACTCGTTGTACATGGTAGGGATAAAGCTAATTTTCCCGTAGGATTCTATGGACTATGATATGCGATAGTCCTACGCGGCGACCTAATTCCCGAGTGCTGATATCTGCATTGATTTCCACGATATTTAAAACTTGTTTCTCCTGCTCTACAGTAACCCGTCTTTCACGAGTGCGAATATTAGTGGGCTGAACACTTCCTGTATCTCGAAGTCTTTGGTACACTTGCACAAATGTCCTTCTGTCTGGGTGTACTCGTTGGCGAAATCTGTGGCGATAAATTTGAGCTGCAAGGTTTGAATTCTGACGAGCTTCACCGTAAACTAACAACATTTCAGCGAACTCTTCGAGAACATTGTAAATAAACACGACAATGTACGCATTAATAACTAATCACTGTTACCGTTTGCGATCGATTGTCGGTTCGATAAGAGTGATGAATGACCGACGCGCGGTTGTCATGTGTGTTTTAAATATTTAATTTAATGAAACTTGCTTACTGATTACAAATTTATGCTTAACTTAGAAAAACTTAATGCCATTTATTTGTTAATCACCCAATTTAAAAACGTTTTAGATTAGATTATAAAAATTAGTAACATTGTGGTGATTGTGTATCGATATAAGGCACTTAAAGCTGTAAACTAGAAAGCCATTTAGACAAAAATCTATTGACTTTTGCACTATGGGTCATATGAACTCTTTGACTTGTTTTGACCTCTCCTATTACCCATTTCAATAATGACTACCATAACGTATACCAAGGTCAAACTATTTTCATATACCCTTTCGCGTCTCTTACATCCCCTAACCCCCGAATTTCAACCCATACAAAAATGTTTTTGAAAAAGGTCAAGAACCTCCAAAACGTCAAAAAACAAAGTTTGAGAGATTTTAATTTTTTTGTTTCTCCGTTTTCTCCGCCACCACTGAGACGATTTTCAAAACATGTTTCGTCCTTGGTACAATAGCAACCTTATGGTGAAAATTTCGCCAAATCTCGAGCGGGACTTCTTAAGTTACAGACGGGCCAAGGATTAGCGGTCAAACCGACAGACCAATAGAGCGACAGACATACAGACTGACGTAAATGGGTGATATGTTTTTCCTTGATGTACGTCATGCGACATCCAAAAAACAAAATATCCCATTTACGAATTTTTTTACGAGTACGATACTGCCTCTTCCTCGGCCAATGGCGTAGGAATTAAAAATAATTCGAAACGGTACTGAGCCGCGGTTTTGAAATTTTCAACTTTTCAACTGCCACTTTCACGCTAAAATGTAGTGTTGTTGCCGTAATTTTGTCATCTCAAATTCCAGCTTGCGGCTTGATCCGTTTCTGGAATGCACTGTGTAGCCACAATGATGAGAGCAGCTAAGAAGCTTTCAGTCCAAAAAGTGGTCATATAAAAAAACTGGAGCCAATTAAGTTTATTGTAGCAAAAATTCAGTCAATTGAAGGAGGAAATTTTACGAATATTCTTGCGTATTTTCAACTTTACAGCCAATGCCCGTTTTACGGGTAAACAAGTGCGTAGACCGATGGGATGCCATCGCGCTTTTCTGAATTAAATAGTACTTACGATATTTTAGGATTTTTTGATGGCGATATAATGAACTGCCTAAATTACCCCAGTTTCGCGCAGTTGCATTGTGGATGGAATTCTGCTCTAAGAAAATGTAAAATTTAAGGCACAACATAGGTTTCATTGAGGAAATGTTTCGAAAACTCTTTTGGGTTTCCAATTTTGGACAAAAGCAGTTTTTTGGGCATATCATGCCCCAAAAGCAATACTTTTTACTCCAAGTATCAATCAATTGCGTTCGCTCTTATGTTCTCATTTCCACCTAAATAATCAAAATAGTATTGCTATATTATGCACTCAATTCAAATTGCAACACACTTATTTATTTCTTTATAATTACTCAATTAATCGTGCCTAAACGGATGGCTCAAGTACCTCTTTGAAGTGATCTGTTGCAATTGGCACGTAATAGTTGAGTCGAACTAGTTACCATCAATTTACTTAATCCGTATTCAATGAATACCGGTAGATTATCGCTTTGCCAATATTTCTGTTGGAGTTCAGTTCACTATGCAATCTCAGTCAGTAATATACTTGCATTGATGCATTGATACTGTAGTTCAAGTGAAACTAACAGCCGTCGCCATCTTGGAACATTTTTTAGATGAAATTGTAATTATGTGATGACTCATTTCGTAGCTCGTCGTCAGTAATTTTAAGCTCTAGAAAATAAATGGCGGACTGGCAGTCTACTGAGGTTGAGAGTTTTTGTAAATTAGATCACTAATAATCAAAATAGTAGGTGTTATCAATCTTTTCATTTTGGAAGGATCTCCCTGAGTGTACAATAGAATATGAGAGATTCCATTTAAACAAATAACAGATTTGGTATTTTGTTTTAAATTTTACCACATATTGGGTTAGATCCATCCAAGAAAACAAACATAATATAAGGGACTATAACGTTTGATTACTGGTTGTTGAATTAAAAGAGACTCATTGTACAGAAACGATCAACTTGGACATAGTGCCAGTGCAACATTTTGAGATATCATAGTCTTTTTTTGAGGCTATAAAGGAAGCTTGCATTCATTTAAAAAGATGTTTCAAAATCACATTCATCCATCATTTTTAAATATCTGATTGCATCATTGACGCTAAAATATACGTATAGTATTAATGTCTCAATGTCATCAGCGAAAATTTCAGCTTCCCAGCTTGACCCATTGAACAATGATAAGGAGGATAATAACCTTTTTGAAAATTATTATAGAATGTTTATTATATATATATGTATATATATACAGGGTGACTTCGAAGTTGAGTCATTTATTTTAACAGTGAGTAGATCTGATCAAAAGAAATGTTTTTTTCCTTTACCATTTTTCTGGTAAAATTAAAGTAACAAAGTTATAGCCCTTTGGAAGTTTGAGTACCGTCCTGTCTCAATAATATCATATGCTCGTGTTTGGCAACAACGGATATAATCCGCCTTATCGGTCCATCGCATCGGAAACAAAAAAGCGAAGGAATTTGGAACGATGTTTTTACAATTATGTTATTCAGTTCAGTTATACATACAGTCAGTGTCAGTCGCGTGTGAATAGTGTCTGTTGCGTGGCTCAAACGAAATGAAAAATGGCACATGTTTATGCGGATCGGTTTCCCAATCGAGTGCAACCAACCCCTCGTGCCTTCGTTAATGTAGTACAACGGGCTCGTGAATCAGGTGACTTAAGACCTCACAGGGGACCTCACGATCAAATACAGGTCCGCACTGAAATACTTGTCGAGAGGATACTTGATAAAACAAGCTAAACATTTTTTTTATTTTTTTTTTTATTTTTACACACATATTTTGGTTTATCTTCCTTCTACAATCATTATCTGAAAATTAATGACTCAACTTCAAAGTCACCCTGTATATATATATACAGGGTGTCCGCAAAGTTGGGGTTTTCCTTTTCAGAAACAACTACCCTTGAAATAACAAAGGTAATGTGTAGTGAAACGAGGGCGACCAAGTAAAAAAAAAAGGAAAAAGTACTCACTCTCCAGTTGACGAGAAGGGCTAAGTACGTCTCTGCCCGAAATCATACCGCTCCAAAAGAAAATGAAATCAGCTGATGCGCTACCGAGCAGACGCACCATGCCAGCCCAAACATTCACCGAAAATTTTTGTTGAAAATGTACCCGACGGGCAGCGTGCGGATTTTCTACTGACCAAACATGAGTGTTGCGATAGTTATTCACCTCATTACGCGTGAATGTAGATTCGTCTGTCACCAATATGCACTTCAAAAAGTCCGGATTATTGTCATGTTGATGCAACAACCACTCACAAAACCGCACTCTTGCTGGAAAATTGTCAGGTTGAAGGGCTTGTACACGTTGGACGTGAAACGGATACAGCCCCTCTTCACGCAGCGTTTGCCACACTTTAGTTTTTGATACTTGCACTTCTCTAGCCACGTCTCTAGTGCTTGTTGAGGGATTCTCGTCTACGCGATTACCTCTACACGCGTGACCGTAACTGTCGGTTGAAGATTGCATACTGACCTGACACACTGACCCCGTCCCAGTTCTGTCGTCGGGTTGAGCCAGTGACCTTGTACCACTCGGTGATGTCGCGGGTCGCGGCTACAGGACGGTATTAAGATATTTTTGATGTTGCAGAGCCCTTTATCTCGGTTCCCTTAAGACATTGGTGTATATGGTACTAAGAAAAATTGCTTATGTTTCCAAGATCTACACGTCGTGTAAAGGAAAACCCCAACTTTGCGGACTCCCTGTATATATATATATATATTATAGGTTAGGTGGTGGTGCATTCGTGAGGGAGAACAAAGTGGGCGTAAATAATAGCAGTTATTTGAAATTGGAAATCGTGCTATACCAAAAAGAGTTGATTGGAGGTAGAGATGGCAATTAGTTAGAAAACATCGATGTTTGGACATCGACGAACATCACCATCGTAACATCGATGGAGCTCGATACATCGTAACAAATACATCGATATATCGATGTATCGAAACAAATCTTCTTTTCAACGTTTTCTGCTTTCAATTCAGCATTTCAGCAACGAATTCATCGATCGCTGTCTGTTTTAGGGGAATAGTCATTTTATCCGCTGGTGGAATTCCCACCGCGATTTCACAACCATTAAGTAAGAATAAAAAACGTGGCAGCAACTTCACGATAGGATAAAAAGATACGACTGCAATATATTTCAGTAAAAAGTATGATTATAGGAAACTGCAAGGTATGAGATTGTCAAAATTAAGAACACATTGATGATCATTACATACTTTACACTGTGCACAAGTTGAAGGGTGTTTTTTAAAGTACTTCCACACATCACTTTTCGTGGTATTTCGATTAATTAACAATAAAACAGCGACACTACAACTACATATAACAAAATAATCAAAAGAACCTGAAATCATTAAATGCGTAAATGCGCTGTTTTCAGTTTATTTTATTATATCCCTTGGGGAAGTACAGAATAAAGAAAAGACTACAGTCCATGACACATCTAGATTGATAATATTGAGATACTACTAAACAGCTTTCTGGGCTTTCAATTTAGAAGCTACAAGTCCTCGCTTAGAGATAGTAGCAACTCGGCACGGATTGCCCTGGTTCTAGGTAGATAAAACTTCATTTACGATTTATTGTTTTGTCATTGTTCAAGCAAAATTAGAGCTATGTGTTTGAAAAAAATAGCTTTCATTTTGTTGGGACGCCCTAACGTACATATATCTGTTTGTTTACAAACCGGGTTCAAAGGAAGCAAAAGTGCTTCTCTAGCAGTAAGGAATTTGTCGCTCTAATGTTGGTTCGATGTACGTCTTCAAGATGTTGATAAGGCTTCGCAGGTGTATTCGGATATGGTCTTCTTGGAAGAGTCAATTTTGCGCTGCGAAGGTATGTTTATCTCTTACAAACAGTTAGCGTCCCAGACATTTCAAGGGACGTCAAGGTGGATACAATAGTAGACCTAGACAGTTGCAGATACTTGTTCCCGAAATTAAAAATTCTAACACTGCCCTCTTTGTTTCTTTATGAAATGGCAATATATGTATATTAACAGAGATAATTTCACTTTGAATAGTAATATACATATACTAAGTGACATATAAATCCGAACACCCAGTTTAAATGGTTTTATTTTAATAAAAGTTGGTGAATGTATTTATCTTACTGTAAATAACAAGTGACAAAATTTTCAGCCTTATCAGTTGGACATTCCGGTTTTTATACTGCTTTTTTTTAATTCACTAACGCTCTAAAAATGAATATTTCAGCCGCAGTAAAGAATCAACGTTGGCGGATTTTGGTTCTTGACATCCTTTACGATCGGTTACGATGCCTAGAGTACGGAGACCTGTACGATTTCGTCAACTTCGTGAGTTTGATAGGGGCCATATAGTGGGACTTTGGGAAGCAGGACTTTCTTTTCGGGCAATTGCAGTTAGAGTGCAAAGAAGTGTAGACACTGTGGTTAGGTGTTGTCAGGCATGGCTTCGAGAAGGCCGTACGCAAGGAGCAAGGGGCACTGGACGCCGCCGTAGAACAACAGACCGTGAAGATCGCCGCCTAAGATTATTGGCCTTAAGGGACCGTTTGTCCACTACCAGGTCCATTGCAAATGAATGGTTTGCAGAACACGGAAGACCTATTGTCATGCGAAGTGTTTACCGACGAATGAGAAGTTTTGGCTTGTTTTCATACCGGCCACACTGGGTCCTCCCTTTAACTCGAGAACACCGACGTAATCGCCTTGAGTGGTGCAGACAACGGTCACTCTGGGATCAGGAATGGAACAGTATTGTCTTTAGTGACGAGCCTCGATTTTGTTTAGGCATGCACGATGGTCGTGCCAGGGTTAGAAGGCGACGTGGTGAAAGGAGGAATCCACAGTTTTTTGTTGAAAGACATGTTCATCACACTGTTGGAGTTATGGTTTGGGGTGCTATAGCTTATGGTTCCAGGTCACCTTTAATCTTCATCAGAGGTAACATGAACGCGCAGCGTTATATCCACGAAGTTCTAGAACCCCATCTTTTACCCTATCTTGACACCCTGGCAGATCCAACTTTCCAACAAGATAAAAGATAATGCTCGACCACATGTTGTAAGAGTCACAATAGACTTCTTTCAACATAATGATGTCACATTGTTACAATGACCACCAAGATCTCCCGACTTATAACCAATTGAGCACGTGTGGGATATGATGGGTAGGAGATTGCTCAATTTGCAACGTCCTCCTCAGACTCTAGAAGCACTTCGAGAGGAGTTGGTGGTTGCCTGGAATGAGATACCACAGGAGGACATTGACCACCTGATCAGAAGCATGCCTAGGCGCCTTGAAGAATGCGTAGCACATCAGGGTGCATCCACACATTATTAAAGGTCAAAGGGTTTTAAAGCAGTGCAATCATTTTGAAATTTTTATCATTTACTTATTATGCTTCATTAAGTACTTATACAAAATTTTATTAAAATAAAACCATTTAAACTGGGTGTTCGGATTTATATGTCACTTAGTATACATTCAATACTCGTAGGCAGCGCGACATTCACATACCCTTTGCTCGATGTAAGCTGGGTAGTAGATCTCCCTCTATTTTACTACCAAAGGTAGGATACGTTAAGGTCAAGCAAGGTAATTATGGCACCAAGATGCAGCAATACAATTTTTTTAATAAAAAAATGGCAGACTTGGGCGCCTGTGGGGTGGTCTCCTCCCCAGATCGCCCAATTTTCTAATCCAGATAGGTACGTGCTGTATAGCGTGTTTCTGTTTCAAATCCGACCTTCACCATTGGGATCTCGAAAACTGTAAGGGATACGAAGTCGCTTAACGGGGGCAAAGTTGCGTATTCAGCTAATCAATAAAATGTCGCTTAGAAAGTTTCGAAATTCAAAGTACTTTCGGATAGAGACGAATTTTCCCAATATCGTTTTAATTTTTTCCTGACTTTATTTGTAGAGAGATTTCAACCTAACCTCATTCAAAATGGGATTTCAAAATTAATTGCAAGTTGTCATTGTTACTAGTTCTCCTCTTCAAGACTGCATAGTCAAAAGTATGGTGAAACCTGAACAAAAAATTAAAATTTTATTGATGGTAATAACAATAATAGTAAAGCAGAGGTAAATCATCGCAGATGTTCAAAATTTTATCCGTTATTTTGTAAGCAAAGCCTGACTCTTCTCTGTAGATCGTTCAGTGCTCGATTTGTTTCTCTCCTTCTCAGTCTTCTAAGCTCTGTTGGTATCATCTGCGAGTACATATTTTTTGTGTACATATCCGAAATCAGCACCAAAAATTACTCTGAAGTTTTTCCATGTGTATGTATTTCGTAGGCAATTGCTTTTGGTGTTCTCTACTCAGCGTAACTTCACTGAACTATATAATACAAACATACAAGATTCATGAATCACCGTACTCATTGCACCACAAGCTTACTCCTAGTTGCAAGTGCGAGATATTCCGGTTTCTCTAAAATTACGATAACAAACTGCACTTGCATTTATGAATTGGTTTAACCCAGAAAAGCGGCCTGATTTAAAATATATCATCGACGGCAAGCAATAAGCGCCTGGAAATTGCAGGGATAGTTTATAGGAACGACTTCGCATATTTTTGCAATCGCGCTGATAGACTAAACGGTTCTGATATCACTTTCGTATAAATTTATAACGCATGCGATCGGATAGACTAAACACTCAATTTCGGGGTATACAGTAAAAGTAGTTTTAGTGCTTTGCGATGACATTTCATCCAGCTCTCAATAGCATTCATAATTTTACGTTTGAAAGAGAAACAATTTTATTACAAACTCGAATGATTAGTACTTTTCAACCACTAAAAGTGGTATGACATAAGAATTATATACAGGGTGTTTCAGTTTATTGTTGCATAACTTTAAGATTCGATAGAACTTTTAAAATTAATGCATAAAGTCTATATAAACATGGGTCGAAAAATGCGTAGCTTCCGAAATACAGGGTGTTTAAATTTACTTTCTAAAATAGTTTTTTTTAAATATTTCGAACAATATTTGATGTATAACAGTGAACATTGGTATACAAGGGTTTTTTGGCACGACAAAACGAACCATGTAGTTTTACTGTAGCCGCTAGAGGGCGCTCTCTACTGTACCTGTAGTGTATTAAAATTACCGAAAATTTTTTCTTAGTGCAATTTTTTGCTTTTTGAATAAAAAAACTGATTCTTCGCACTTTTCAACATAAAAAAGCTCTCCTGTGAGTTTTCGTTATAGTTAGCCGTTTTTGAGATATTTCGATTTTTAAGGTTTGATGCATTTTTAATTATTTATGATAAAATAACGTTAAAAAGTCAGTATCTCGATAATTTTTAGAAGTAGGCTGTGCCTGCAAATATTTTTGAAATTGAAAGGAGAATAAGGTTAAACGTCAATTAGTTGACAGTTAGTTTTGTTGTCTGTTGAAACCTGAAACGTTTTTTTGCAATTATGAATGCACGAAATTTAGTTTCTTTTACCTGTTTTTTTTGTAAGTTTTATAAAAATGCTATTTTTATTCTCCAATCAAGAGTTAGCGGATATTCATTTTGTGTATGGCTTTGTAAATGGAAACGCAGCAGAGGCAGCCAGACAATACGCACGAAGATTTCCAAACAGACGACATCCAACTCGCTCAGTATTTGTAAGAGTGCATCGCCAAATAATTGAAAATGGTTTTGGAAATCTCCAAAGAAATCAAAACATAAATGTTCGTCAGCGCTGATTTACCCGTATGATTCTGCGTGAGTTTGATAGAGGTCCGACTACAAGTGTTAGGAGAGTTTCTGGTGCCTTGGGAATTTCAGCAAGCCATGTTCACCGTGTTCTTAGAAATGACCATAGACGTCCTTACCATTTGCAACCTGTGCAAGGACTACAGCCAGGGCACGGAGAACGAAGAATCACATTTTGTCAGTGGATTCTTGATAGACCTGATAATAATAGGGAGTTTTTAAGTAACGTTTTAAGGACCGATGAGTCATGCTTCACTAGACGTGGAGTGGTAAATTTTCATAATCAACATATTTGGTCGCATGAAAATCCGCATGCAGTTCGGGAAAGAAATTTTCAGCATGAATTTAGTGTGAATGTGTGGATTGGTATCTACCGTAATCGACTATTTGGACCCTACCTTTTGCCTGCAAGGTTAAATGCTGCGACCTTCTTGGAATTTTTAAAGGCTGAACATGCAAATATGTGGGATGATGTTATGTTAGATTTAAGAAGATTGGCCTGGTTCCAGCTTGGTGGTTGTCCAGCTGATTAATCGGGAATAGTTAGAAACTGGCTGGATGAAAATTATCCAGAAAGATGGATCGGCCGTGCAGGACCAGTCGCCTGGCCTCCACGATCCCCTGACCTAAATCCATCAGATTTCTTTGTGTGGGGATTTCTAAAAGAAAAAGTGTACCAGACTCCCGTGACCACAAGAGATATGCTAATAGACAGAATCAGGAATGCATGTGATGAAATAAGGCCTTATTTGAATAATGCTATACCACGTTCGATCATTCGTAGATGTGAATTGTGTATTGAACAATTGGGTTTACATTTCGAGCAACTACTTTAGATTTTGTATGTTTGTCCTAACTATCCAATAGCATTTTAGTTGTAAATAATTAATTTAATTTGTTAAAAATAATATTGGAAAATTAAACAAATTAATATTCTTTTTTTTGTGTTTATTGGAGTTAGGAATTATTGCTGTGTTTAAAAACACAATCTAAACGATCATCTTAATTACTTGTAATGCCCAAATCGAAAATGTAAAAAAAATATTATTTTCCCATAAATAATTAAAAATGCATCGAACCTTAAAAATCGAAATATCTCAAAAACGGCTAACTATAACGAAAACTCACAAGAGCGCATTTTTATGTTGAAAAGTGCGAAGAATCAGTTTTTATATTCAAAAAGTATAAAATTGCACTAAGAAAAAATTTTCGGTCATTTTAATACACTACAGGTACATTAGAGAGCGCCTTCTAGTGGCTACAGTAAAACTGTACCCATGGTTCGTTTTGTCGTACCAAAAAACCTTTGTATACCAATTTTCACTGTTATATATCAAATATTGTTCGAAATATTTAAAAAAAAACTATTTTAGAAAGTACATTTAAACACCCTGTATTTCGGAAGCCACGCATTTTTCGACCCATGTTTATATAGACTTTATGCATTAATTTTAAAAGTTCTATCGAATCTTAAAGTTACGCAACAATAAACTGAAACACCCTGTATATTGTGAAAGACAGACTAAAAAAGGTTTCCAAGAAGTTTCTTATGTGCTCCTAAAATGATATGTGTTGAAATAAGTAAATTATCCAAAACTGTCCATTGTCACATGAAATAAATATGTCTATCGTCACATCTCATCGTTCTCAATTTCAACTTAGACTATCCAATTTTTCGTCTTTGCTACGTTATATAGTGTTCGCTTCTATAAAAAATCATTGGTTGAATCAACCGCTCCTTTCAAACTGCTTCCTGGCATGTGTTCTTAGGACATTCACTCCACCGTTGCACCAGATAATATCGCGTCAGCGACTTAATACAGTTTTTACAAAGGGAAATGGGGAATTACAAAGTCAAACGACAGCCATTGTGTGTACATCACTCTGCGTTGGATGGTGTTGCTTTGAAATCGGCGATGTTGCTGGTACGTTTTACATATTCTCTTGTTATTGTTCAGTCGGTCGGAGATGCCAAAACCTAGTACAAGTGTTACAAGTGATCCATTCCTCCAAAGAAAGCTTTTGTTGCTAATCATATTGCAGCTATTATACTACTGATTCCCAAAATGTGGGATTCGTTAGGAGTTTAATTTAACTGACACTTTGTTGGAGATAAAGATCTACGCTTATACCTCCTTGCAGATCCCCCTTGGAAATCCATGGATATCCTCAGATTTTTTTGGACCCGCATGAACCTCCTCGTACCGCTACCGGGTAAATTTGTTAGATTTACTAAGACACCAGCAGAAATAGCAACCATGGGCTATAGTCTCAACAAAAACCTGCCACGGATCTGCCTATTTTTTCTTGAATTGCATCTGAATATCGCATATAGGCGGATTGTTCAGGATTTTTCCTTCCTCCTGGAATCCCTTTGAATTTGATGAGTTCTTCAACAGTGACCTCTCAGAATTCCAGTAGATTATTTTGTTTTTGTGCTTTTCAAATTTTTGTAATTGTAACGGTGTTTATTGATATTGTGTATATTTTTCATGTTTATTGCTCATTTTTTATTTTATTGCTGATAAATGGCATCATTGTCTTATTTTGACTTCTGAAAACATGCACTAAGTATTCAGCAGAAAATAAAGAATTGAAATTGAGTTTATTGATATTGAATTATCTTTTTGAATTGCCTAGGTCCTCCTTAGATTGCCTTGGATCTCCATGAATTTCCCCGTATCTCTTTGAATTGCCTCTGGACATGGCATCTTCTTAGATTACCTAGGATCTCCTTAGATTGCCTTGGATCTCCTCACAGTAGAACAGCAAATCTTGTTGCCCTTGGATCTCCATGAATTGCTCCGTATCTCTTTGAATGGGCTATAGGAATGGCATCCTCTGGTATTGCCTAGGATCTCCTTAGATTGTCTTGAGGG